TTTTCAGACAACTGCGCTGATGCTGCCGCATGTGAGTGTCAGCAGCTGACCATGGAAGAAGCGCAAGATAGAAACCTCGATTGGCAATCGGCCGGATATAAATATCGTCAGCAAAGCAGCACTTTATCGACCGGTGTCTTCGAATGTAATCGTTTATGTAAATGCGACAAACGATGCCCGAATCGTCTTGTGCAGCTACCTGCGTTCGTACATCTACAGGTGATTAGCAATGTTGATGTAACGTTTTGTCGATGCGTTATTGCCACTGGTTTTGGTCGATACCCATCCACAAGGAAAGCGCTGATGGTCAGGCTTTGATGAATCAGGAAAGTTGCCGTTGATGCGCACTGCGTACATTAGTGTTCACCTGTTGTCATCGTCTTACAGTAGCATAGGCATGAGAATCCCGGAGTTCCTGTGTAGCAAAGCATGAAAACAATGGATAAAACAGTTGGCCCCTCTGTTGGACCATTTGTCACTTGTTGCGCAACAAATTTCTGTACTGTGGAATTACGTATCTCTATAAATCCAACATCGCGTTCGCATAATAGAAAACTGATAACAGTTAAATCACGGAATTACTTGTCAGAATGCAGTAGTTCTCAACTTATTATGTTCAGCAGCTGCGACGACCCTGAAAACTGTCAGCTAACTAGCAGTTCTCCTTGTGTCACATGCTCTCCATTTTCTATAAGTTAGTAGCTGTATGCAGTTGTTTTCTTTTTCAGCACAGTTCGATGGTACGTTCGTTTCTCCCCTGGGGGTGATTTATATAATAATATGGTACAAATTGAATAACCGATTTTCTTGGGCAGTTTTGTACGGATGGATATCTCCCGAGAAGTATGGTCTGTAACCCCATATCTTGGAATTTTGTTCATTTGAGCTCAGCAACACGTTGTTGACTTCTTTAACCAATACTTGAAAAATATATTTTTCTACGGACTTGGCGTAGGTCGAGGTTATCTCCAGTAACGACGAGAAACAACCCAACTGCAGCAGAAGACTTTGGATTGATTACGGTATCTTCCGCTGCTTTGAAAGGGATCGAACATTTGTTTCTGCCATTCATTTTTGTTCCGTTCAATCCATCTCAAGATCCATAACAATTTGGTTTCAGAAGAAAACGGAGTACAAGTCGACGCGACTGCATATATTTTGCAACGCATAGCTGTGCAATTGGACAAGGGCAAAAGCATGATTAAGACCCTTCAACGTTTGATACCGTCCCAAGGGATAAGTTACTGTATGATTTTTGTGATCCTGGCATTAATCTCTACATTCTACGGACGATCGAAAACCGCGTACCTCTCTGAGCGTAAACAATTTATGCACTTTAACGATACAATTCGCAAAGCTGCTTAAAAACACTGGTTGTACTGTAAAGTTCATCTCACCAAAATACTTTTCACCCTGGACCCCAACAACATTATAGATTTGAGTTGTTGCAAAAGAATGCTTGAAAAATGCGGACGAAGTACCGTCTTTGCTGTTGTTAGAAACCGTGAAGACCTAAACAAATATAGGAATGACACGAATAGATCGTTAGACTGGTCCAGTTTGCATCTATTTATTTTTTACGTGTAGCAAGTTATCGAATATGTCTTTATTCCTCTTAACACGCAGAATCACGACCTCATCAATCAATCCAATCCAGGTGCCAGTCACCTGGCTTAAAGATGCGAAGTACCTTGACGTGATACGCTAACTTTATCTTATATGGTTTGCATGGTCAGTAGCGCGAGGAAAGCTGATTTTTACCTTCGCCGCTTACACTTGTCTAGAGTCCCTTTTGATATAGCTGGTATAATATAATTTTATTTATGACTATATTTTCTTGGAATATATTTCCTTACTGTTATAGGTTTTCAAAACTGCAGACAAGGGCTGGGGAGTGCGAGCGTTGCACGACATTCCAAAGGTAACAGTTGTTTTCTCTGAGCTAAAGTCATATTCTTATACTATTTTAGGGGTGTTTTATATCTGTTTATGCCGGTGAAGTTCTGACCGATCATCGAGCAGATCAAATGGGACCAATCTATGGCGACGAATATTTTGCCGAATTAGACTTGCTTAAAAATTTCGAGCAGTATAAGGAAGGCTACGAGTCGGAAGTTGCGGAATCTGCGGAAAGCGATTCCTCTGATTCGATCATTGTTGTATCGGAGTTCATCAGAACCTATCCGGACAGGTAGCAAATTTAGAAGCGTAATTTCTGGTATACGGCAATTTCCTACAAACATTTTAGTGCTCCAAGGTCGAAGCGTCCTCACCGCTCACCATCTTTATGCAACGGCGATACTGAAGGTAACGCGTGGCTCCTGAAGAAATATGCTCTATATAAATACGTGTTTCAGGAGGTCAGAGGCAGGATGACAGCCCATAAAATATTTAATTATAAACATATAGAGACTAATATTGTGAACAAAACTCGTTCCCTCTTTGGAGTACAGTTTTAATTTTAGACGGCGTCAGATTGACTTGCATGATTGATGAAGCCGCGCTTGTTGTTGGTCCCACTCGGCTGTTTGATACTTTTGGTCCATGTGTAGCTGAAATCAGTGCCAAGGTATTATCTCACCCGACGGTAAGATCTACATTACTTTCCCATGCGTTCGTTAGCTGAGGGAAAAGTTAGCGATGCACTGCGTCTAAGGCCGGACTGAGCGTTGTATTTGAACATTTCGCGGTCGCCTCAGTCACCTAAAAATCAAGAGGCCTGATAAGCAAAAGCAAGTTTTGATGCACAGGCTCCCCTCTTCATGTGGCACAGTATACATCTGCCAAACGGGCAACATGGTTCATAAAGGGGAAGATCGAAGAAGAGACCGTTGTCAGATGGAAGTACGCTGAAAGAAAATAGTCTCAAGCACATTAGCAGAAAACGGAGACAAACAATCAATTCCAATGTTATCATAGCGAAATATGAAAATTTCGCTCTAAGACAATATACTGTAATCTCTCAGCACTATATATCTTTGGGGGAAGGTGAAAGGTGCCGCGAGGGAAAATCAGGATTTTGCGCGTAAAGTCAAGGAACTGCTACTGATCCGCCCGCCAAGCCAGCTGCGTCAGTCGCGACTTTGGCCCAAAACATTAAATAGTTCTTGGGACCAATGACAAGCATAATCCCATAAATCCTACAGATCAACCTGGCTCCCACTAAAATGATGCCGTACAAATCTCATCTTTACTCGCAAGACGGACCAGGCTTTGTCGGAAGCTTTAGTATCAGTATAGAATGTTTGTAATTAAATATTTTATGCCTTTTATTCCGTTCCGTCTGTGATTTTCTGAAACTTGGGTGGAAAAGGAAGAATGGAATAGATGTTTGTTATTCTGTTCTCATTTTAGGATCAGACTTGACATCGCTGCCTCCTCGTTGGTCGTTCATGAAATATTTTGGTTCGAGTTCATCGTATACGATAAACGGTAAAAAGGTAGGCAACGTTGGACGATTCTTCAATCACTCGTGCTCGCCGAATATGTTTGTGCAAAACGTGTTCATCGACACCCACGACCTCAGGCTGCCTTGGATAGCATTTTTTGCCTCCAAAAGAATTCGAGCCGGCGAGGAGATGTGCTGGGACTACCGATACACGCCGAACTCCGTACCGGGCAAGGTGATCTACTGTAATTGTAACTCGTCGAGGTGTCGCGGAAGGCTTCTGTAGCGAAGTTAATTATGACCGACGTTACCGTTTTGATTCTGCTTATTTGCTGTTTCATCAGCATTTGTTTATTAATGCCTACCAAATGTGGTAGCACATTGTTGAATTTGATTTTTTGTTCGTTTAGACTGAATCAGCTTTGCTCAACGCAAAGTTGCTGCTATTTGTTTCAGGCATATTTGTGGTTTAAGAAGTTTCTATTATAATAAATGTGGCTCGATGTGAAACGCGTTGAACGTGTTTACAAATGTCATCGTTCGGTCAGAGAAATGACGAAATCGGTGTACAGAAGTTATGACAAAATTATTACGCATATCTTTCATTTCTTTACCATACAAACGACGCAGAAATTTTTCTCTTTAATTTCAGATATTATCCAGAATCAATTTATCCGATCTTCCGTTCGTTTTACTCATCATTAGTCATCTACCATTACGAAGGTAGACTGCACAATGAAAGTCTCGCGTCAAACTACTATAGTTGATGACCTCCTAATTCTACCCGATAGGTCTGTTTTCACAGCGCTTTCATTGCCACGTTTACTATAAATACACAAAAACCTACAGCGAACTCAACGCTCGGTGGGTGGTACTTCACCTCGCTTAGTGAAACAAAACTTTTCATAATTTTTGAAACAGTCATTTAAGAAGTTAGCAGTACTCAGAGCTTGAAGTCCACTCTATGCCCTAGTATCTGAATACGAGAAAATACTGACATTTACGATAACCGGTGGTATCGTAGATTAATGTGGATGGATCCCAATCATTTTCGTTGGCCGATTGTCAAGTATGTTTTTCGCAGAAAGATTTTCTTTAAGGGTTTAAAGAAGCTTTACACCCTCCGTGTCAGTCCTTGACTTCTGGTACATCGTCGGATGACCGTTTCAGACAAAAACACTAAAGTCGTGGATCAGAAGGATTTATTTACCACAAATGAAAATATATTCCGTTGTACTTCTTGATGGCTGCAGAGCCTTATTTTTTCGTTGCACCATCTCTAAACTATAAGTCGATCGAATTAGCAGTCACGCATATCTCTCGTTAAAAGCACGTTTCGACACCATCTCTGAACATGCGCCTTTCAGTAATGCCACTAGAACTACTTCGGAAGATAGGTATTCCCCCATCCTTTCAAATTCTGAAATTCAAAAGCCATTCGAGCTTGCTTCTCTTTACAGATTTTCATGCTTCTTATGCCGTGTTACCATGTGATACTCTTAATTACACTTGATTTAATGAACAAGCGTATTTTCGAATGGGAACTTTTCATCAGTAGCTTAATCGACGTATCGGTGGGGACGTAATGCAACAGTGGACAACTTTTCAGCAGTACTTTCAAGACATGGACTGAGGTTCCGATAAGTTTATGGGTTACATTTGCTATATTTCAATACTCGCTCATTTGAACCTTGAGACTTCATTAATGAACAGTCAATCTTAGTTCCGGATTTGAGAAGATGACGCATCATACATTCATTTTCAGAGA